CCCCCCCCCCCCCTACCAGATCATGCTGGATCCATCCCTGATGATGATGATGGTGTTGATGATGATAAGAATACTATACAGCTGTTTAAACCTCACCTAGCACACTCTGTGAGGAAACATGACAGTGTATCCAGTTTCTTCTATGAAGATGAGACAAAGCCTGCGCAACATCCAGCATGATTCTGATGATCCTCATGAGATGACACTCGAGATCTTTCTCCATGTCCATCGTGGGATCTCTGAGGTACATGGAGAGCGTCGAGTGATAGAACCTCTCCATGATCAGACAGAAAGGATCCAGACATATTGCCATGGCAACTGGGAACCGGAAATGACGTAATTGCCTGGAAAGAAGAGACAGGTGAAGTGAAAATTGACAACAGGGTTGAGTTCTAAGATTGAGCTGTAAGAATCAGTCGAAAATTAGAAATTTTCAAATTTGCATTGTCATTTGCACAACCAAAATGGTTTTGATGAATGATATTCTAATGTGTGATTCGTGCTATAGACTAAATTTTGATCAAGGCAAGAGGAACGAAATCCAACACCACAGCTAGAAAGAGCGTTTTAGAATGCGTAAAACTGCAAAGATTGGTTGCTAAATGTTGTAAAATGAAGAAAATATAGTCCTGTGAAATTCGCAAAATTTGTATATATTTGTATTACGCGCGGTAAAAATAACCACTTTCGGCTCAAAAATGGTTATTTTTCTCGCACGTAATGTAAATATATACAAAATTTGCGAACTTCACATGGCAATATTTTCCTCATTTTACAACAATTCGCAACCAAACTTTGCAATTTTACTCATTTTAAGATGCTCTTTCCAGCTGTGGTAATGAAATGTAGTTCTTCTTGTCTAGATCAAAATTTCGTATATAGCTAGAATCATCCATTTAACAAACTTTTCCAGTCCTTGAACTTTATTAACCGCCTGGTTCTCTAAGACGCAACATAATAGATTTTCTATTTTATAGAAGTTTTTTAAAAGAAGCTACAGTATTATGAAAGGCATAACATAGTAATAACATAGTAATAACATTGAGTACAACATACCTCAGTAAATTAATCTCTTTCCGTAATCGAAAGTGAAAAAACTCGTCCTGATTAAATTCTGGCGCATGTTTAACGGTCACGAGACTCCCTCCCCACATTCCATCAATGTACGCAAAGAAGGAACCAGTGAAGGAATGTTTGTGTTCTGGTCTTTTAATATCATCCAGGTTTATGATTGGTATACCCCAGGGAAGATTGTCGCTCTCCTCGTCTGCTACTTTCATACACGACGCGGAGGCGCAGGAGTTCTACGAGAAATAGATTGTTAGATTTCAGAGCTCAAGATTTACCTATAAACTAAACTAACTTTATTTATACTGGGTAGCTCGATCAGTTCTAAACTGTTCTTCCTAGAGGTCCAGTAAGAATCATCTCTTATTGATCCAGTGTTACTACAGGTGGAAACCTAAACTAAACTAACTTTATTTATACTGGACAGCTCTATCAGTTCTAAACTGTTCTTCCTAGAGGTCCAGTAAGGATCATCACTTATTGATCCAGTGTTACTACAGGAGGAAACCTAAACTAACTTTATTTGTACTGGATAGTTCTATCAGTTCTAAACCTACCAGAACGATAGCGTTATAATTCTGAGCAGGCTGATGATGACCCAACCCACGGTCCACCAGAAATGCATGTAACAAACGCATTATATCTGGGTTCCCATGGTAACGTGCAAACGCGACGACAGTTGGGTACTCTGCAAACGTACTGTGAAGGTCACTGCCGTACTGAAGGAGCAAACCTACACATTTGATATGGTCTTGTTGAATAGCAACATGAAGCGGAGTCATTCCCATCAATGATGACCTGAAATATATACATCACATTTTGAATACACATACGCAAAAATCTCAGTTTGTCAACAAGATGTGTTCGCAACAGGCTTGTAGCAAATTTGTCAACAAGTTGTAACAATACTGTTATTTTATCAAGTTGCTACAAGGTTGTCACTCACAATTTGTTGACAAATTGTTCAATTGCAGAACGATAACGACTTGTTGGAACAACTTGTGACAAGTCTGTTGAGCTCAACAACCTTGTAGCAAGTTGTCAACAAGCTGGGAACAAGCAGTGCGAACACATCCTGTTGACAAGTTGTCGGACCAGCATTACTACAAGTCTGCTGCAGGTTTGTTTATACAACTTGTGCGTTTTTTACGAGTGTAGTTGAGTTAATGTATGGCTGGTATCCTTGGAGTTTTCCTCATGAATTATTAGTACGTTTGAAAAGACATAAACAACAAGAACGCCAACAAGACTGACCTGTTAGGATCTGCTCCTCGGCTGAGTAAAAACTCGACACACTTGACGTGTCCATTCACTGACGCAATAAACAACGCCGTCTCCTTCCTAATATTCGAGGCATTGATATGAACTCCATGATCTATCCATTTTTCAATTTTTTTAACATCACCCTCGGCAGCGTATCGTATGAGATGGAAAGCCATTAGTCTTTTGACTTAGCTTTTGATCACGTCATGTAATGATTTGACAAATGACTTCCAGTTCATTTTAGCGTGCGCGAGCGAGCCAGCTTTTCGAATTCAGAACTTTAAAGGCGACTGCAAATTAGCCAAGGCATGTGGGTCATTTATGTACTATTTAAAAAACATGAGCAGCAGTTTTTATCAGATATAAAGATACGAGGCAAAGCCGATTATCTTTAGGTCTGATAAAACACGCACTGCATGCGAATGTTTTAAATTGCTTCAAAAACGACCCATCTTATGAGTTCATTGGCGAAGTAATTTTAAAAATCGACGTTGTCCAAGGCGAGAAAATCAAACTAAGAACCGCGGAGCTCAAGACGAAATTTAAAATGCATATATAAACGTGTGTTTTCATCATTTAACTCTTATCTAATGTAACTTGAAAAAATGTTTAATACGAGATTTTTTTATATCTTTCTAGTTCGTAAAAAAATGATTTATTGAATATACAACAGATTGTCATTGGTGTCGAGTTCAAATGCTTACAAATCTCCGTGAACTTAACGTCATATATAAATGTATAGCTCTATACTGACTTAGCATGTTGTACGGCAAGTCCACAACCCTTTGGTTGGCTTTATTCGATGGGTAATTCTGAAACAGGCATGTTCCAAAAATAAAGTTTGGTTTGTGCAAAATAGAGGGTCTAAGTCCCATCTACAAATCCCTTGGAATATATACTTCCCCAGAAAATATTTTGTGATTTCTGTCAATGAATGATGCGTGCGTTTTGTATGTTTCAAAAAAGACCTGATTGCGGGATCTCTCCGTAATTTCCATTGCGGTACAATACAATCTTCATAGAAGTATTTCACCTTGTCATATAGCGTCCACATCTGAAATCTCTAACCCATTAAAATTTATATCTGAAAAATAATCAAGGTCATTTTATAGGATATTACTTGTAAAAATTTAACAAAACATCGCACAAGTCAAAAATCTTGAAATCTCAAATTTAAATTTTTCAACCTGCGAACGGGCATACTCTGCCTTACGAGATTAGGGAGTTTATTACTGCCTGAGGAGGAAAGGCAAAAATCCCAGACATAGTTTAACTATCTTTTATGTACTAAAATATACCTGTAAAAGTCCAGTTGTTGTTTCAGGATTCCAGAGAGAACAAATTCCACATTATGAACACCTACAGTACGAAAATAAATTAGTTTGTTGCAGTCAAAATACTAAAACCTTCTTACTTCTGTGCACAAATAAAAATCTCAAAACTTGTCAACAAGATGTGTTCGCAGCAGACTTGTAGCAAGCTTGTTGACAAGTTGTGACAATGCTGTTCCAACAACTTGTCAACAAGATGTCTCCTCAACAGGTTTCTAGGAAGCTTGTTGACAAGTTGTGACAATGCTGTTCCAACAACTTGTCAGCAAGATATCTTCTCAACGGGCTTTTAGCAAGCTTGTTAACAAGTTGTGACAATGCTGTTCCAACAACTTGTCAACAAGATATATCGTCAACTAATGCTGTTATTTTATCAAGTCGCTACAAGGTTGTCACTCACAACTTGTTGACAAATTGATGAATTGCAGGACGATAATAACAATTTGTAATACATCTATCTGTTGAGCTCAACAACCTTGTAGCGAGTTGTCAACAAGCTGGGAAAAAGTATTACGAAGATATCCTGTTGACAAGTTGTTGGAACAGCATTGCTACAAGTCTGCTGCAGGTTTGTTACAACTTGTGCGTTATCATGTGTGTGTATGACTTACCTATCCCCTCTGTTTTCATGTCTTTACACAAATGAGTATCTTCTTCACACGTGACGCACACAAACGCTGGCTGACCCTAGAACACAGATACAGCATTGCTTTATATGTCCCTTTATTTCCCTCATAATACAAATATATCCCCCAGAATCCTACTCACGTCCTCAGTTTTCTGTTGGGCCAAACTTTTCAATGAAGATTTCGGTGGAAGTTCAGCCATGAGCTGGAGAAATACGAGAAACGGTTAAAAGCTGGGTTTACACTATCAAAGTTTCTGTGATCACAGTATTTTGCATAGATAAATTCTAAGTTTTGAAGGATTTGTAAGAAATATTTGAGGAAACTGACTCCGTGAGCCAGTTTCTTCAAACATTTCTTACAAATCCTTCAAAACTTAGAATTTACCCATGCAAAATTCCTACTGTGATCACAGAAATTGTTTCTTAAGTAAATGAACTGCTATATTGTATTGAAATATGTCATCTTACCTTGCCCCCAGCACAGTCGAGGATTTCTGCCATTGATTTCTGATCTGGCCGAACGTTGGCGGTCACATAGATAGTTATACCCTAGAAATATATATTAAATATTGACGAAATATTGTAATCTTTTGCAAGTAGTTCAGATACAAACCACGGCAGCTTATTGTAGAATACTACCTACACTGGACCACCACGTTTGAGATATCTTTTTCAGGTAGTTCAGACACAAACCACGACAGTTTATTGTAGAATATTACCTACACTGGACCACCACGTTTGAGATATCTTTTTCAGGTAGTTCAGACACAAACCACAACAGCTTATTGTAGAATACTACCTACACTGGACCACCACGTTTGAGATATCTTTTTCAGGTAGTTCAGACACAAACCACGACAGCTTATTGTAGAATACTACCTACACTGGACCACCACGTTTGAGATATCTTTTTCAGGTAGTTCAGACACAAACCACAACAGCTTATTGTAGAATACTACCTACACTGGACCACCACGTTTGAGATATCTTTTTCAGGTAGTTCAGACACAAACCACGACAGCTTATTGTAGAATACTACCTACACTGAACCACCACGTTTGAGATATCTTTTTCAGGTAATTCAGACACAAACCACGACAGTTTATTGTAGAATACTACCTACACTGGACCACCACGTTTGAGATATCTTTTTCAGGTAGTTCAGACACAAACCACGACAGCTTATTGTAGAATACTACCTACACTGGACCTCACCAACCTGAAACAGCGGTTTTGCTTGAGCTGAATCGATGGACTGGGGCAGAGACATCCCATAAAGCTTTTCGCCATCCTCGTCATGCAGTACGTAATCTTTCTCGTCTGGAAGGATAAGAAAATATCTTTAAAGTTTAAAATAAAATGAAAAACTTAGTTTGGTTTGATATTTTTATAAATATAAACCCCTTACTCAAGTATTTGCCGACTTCATGGCTTTTATCAATCCATTGCGGACTGACGATATAGCGACAGACTGATATACCAGTTAAAAATTTGATTGTTCTCATGATCTGAAGGAACAGAAAGGAATATATGTTAAAAATGACAGTTGTACGTACATAAGTCTGACTGTACAGCCAGTTTTCTCGAATGGTACTGTAATTTCATGGAATATGTCTAGGTAAACAGTATGGTTTCAAGTACAATTGTTTTGAAAAAAAAGGAAATTTTATTTGGACTTTGTACCTCATTTTATCTCATGATAAGTTTCTACTTTACCTTTGAGGCGACGATGTGTGTACAAGTTCTGATAGATGTCGCAGTTTCACCGCCCAATGCGGATAGTTTCTGAAAAAAAATTACATAATTGAAATGCTATTTAAACTTTTCCGTGTCATTTACAACCTAAAGTGGACTACAGACTTCAGAATTTTACTCTGTCGACTCTGATGCAACTCTTATTCTCGTTTGATCAAGCAATGAAAGTTGAGAAAACTCTCATGTAAACTCTCGCTTGTCAACTCTCATGCAACTCTTGTTCTCGTTTGATCAAGCAATGAAAGTTGAGAAAACTCTCATGTAAACTCTCGCTTTGTCAATTCTCATGCAACTCTTGTTCTCGTTTGGTCAAGCAATGAAAGTTGAGAAAACGCTCATGTGAACTCTGACTTGTCAACTCTCATGCAACTCTTGTTCTCGTTTGATCAAGCAATGAAAGTTGAGAAAACTCTCATGTAAACTCTCGCTTCTCAACTCTTATACAACTCTTGTTCTCGTTTGACCAAGCAATGAAAGTTGAGAAAACTCTGATGGAAACTCACGCTTGTCAACTCTCATGCAACTCTTGTTCTTGTTTGATCAAGCAATGAAAGTTGAGAAAACTCTGATGGAAACTATCGCTTGTCAATTCTCATGCTCGCATGACGAGGGATTATTTCATTAAAATGAACTTACTTCAGTTAAGCGGCGTACTGCCCCAGGGTTCAAACCAGTGAATACAACTCTTGGCGTGACAGGATTACTGACATTTGGAATAACAGTTACAGTTGGCCCTGACGTCAGAGATGCAGTTGGCGCTATAGCCTGAGGTTCGGGCGTGCGGGCTGGTTCTTCAAGTCTGTAAACAAAACACGATCTCAAATTTGAGAAAGTAGATCTTAAATTAGTAATATAAACAAAGGTAAACAAACCTTGGCCGTTTATTAGCTTCGTCTTCCTTCATCTGAAGAGAAATATAAAATGAATTAGATGCACGTAAACAGATAAACCCCAACACAAAATATATTTGAATATAATATTTGCAAGAAACATTTAAACAATTCCTCACCTCTCGTTCTAACATTTCAAGCTTTCGTTTCTGTAAAAAATGAGAAAGACAATTACGGAAATTAATGTGAACTTTTTGCAAAGCTTTGAACGCATATTCACTGCAAACGTTTAAGAAAGACTCCGTTCAAAAATGGCGCGAAAACCTTCTACCTTGAGAAGATCTATTCTGATTGGCTGGTGAAGCCCTACTGTCGTACCCAGTCTCCCAGCTCATACTAGACTTATACTACTATTTTTTTAAAATAAAAACCTTGTCAATAATAATATCTTTTGGTTCAAAACCTTTCCATGCATCTACAAAGTAGAGAATAAAATGTAAATATCAAAACTAAAATAGCTCTATCAGTTCTAAACTGTTCTTCCTAGAGGTCCAGTAAGGATCATCTCTTATTGATCCAGTGTTACTACAGGAGGAAACCTAAACTAAACTAACTTTATTTATACTGGATAGCTCTATCAGTTCTAAACTGTTCTTCCTAGAGGTCCAGTAAGGATCATCTCTTATTGATCCAGTGTTACTACAGGAGGAAACCTAAACTAAGCTAACTTTATTTATACTGGATAGTTCTATCAGTTCTAAACTGTTCTTCCTAGAGGTCCAGTAAGGATCATCTCTTATTGATCCAGTGTTGCTACAGGAGGAAACCTAAACTAAACTAACTTTATTTATACTGGATAGCTCTATCAGTTCTAAACTGTTCTTCCTAGAGGTCCAGTAAGAATCATCTCTTATTGATCCAGTGTTACTACAGGAGGAAACCTAAACTAAACTAACTTTATTTATACTGGATAGCTCTATCAGTTCTAAACTGTTCTCTCTAAAGGTCCAGTAAGAATCATCTCTTATTGATCCAGTGTTACTACAGGAGGAAATCTAAACTAAACTAACTTTATTTATACTAGATAACTCTATCAGTTCTAAACTGTTCTCTCTAAAGGTCCAGTAAGAGTCATCTCTTACTGATCCAGTGTTACCACAGGAAGAAACCCGAATACACAGACATAACCTTCGGTGTTTGGTAGAGTCAAACTGGTAGCACTCTTATCACATGGGATTAAGACAAGATAAAGAGATTAAGAGATCGATAAGACAACATTAAGAGATCGCAGATTCGCAGGGTTGGAAGCACGACCTCAGAGATGACAAGGATACTATACTAACCCAACAACTCTTTAGCCAGAATCATATTAATGTCGAGTTCGTTGTCACTGCCAAATGTTTTGTAGCGTTTCATGTTGACGGGGTAATCACACCCACCTGTAATAAAGATTATCGCGATAATACATTGTCACACTGAATGCGTAATTAGCGATTGTATAATTTATGCATGATACATATAACTTAATTCGTTGGCGGGGGTCTCTGTGTGTCCAGCAGTTCTTAATGAAAGACTCACCGGTCATAATGTCGCTTATCCATCTCGCGTTTGTACAAATAATATCCCACTCTCTCGCTTTTTTGTACTTTTCTGACGTCTCACTAGAAAACAATATTCACACAGTTACTGTACAATTAGGATAAATATTGCCAAATGTCTCCAACTAATTTATTTCAATTCAATGAAAGCTTACTTTCGACAAATAAGATGTGTGACAGATCTGCTTAGATAGCCAGTGTACTTTGCACCAATTATGTAAATCATATTCTTCAGTATCTGCCTTTCCTTGCCTTCAAACCCTGTCACTGAAATGATCTAAAACCAAACAAGAATATTTGTCGATACAGCTATCCAGTATAAATAAAGTTAGTTTAGTTTAGGTTTCCTCCTGTAGTAACACTGGATCAATAAGAGATGATCCTTACTGGACCTCTAGCAAGAACAGTTTAGAACTGATAGAGCTATCCAGTATAAATAAAGTTAGTTTAGTTTAGGTTTCCTCCTGTAGTAACACTGGATCAATAAGAAATGATTCCAGAGCTATCCAGTATAAATAATGTTAGCTCGTTTTAGGTTTCGTTCAACTAACATGGTCGACTAACATGCTTACCATCCTACGACAACGTCCTCTACCCTTGAATGGTACTGGAAGATGTAAAGCTGTTTGTGGAGCAAGTAATTTCATATTCAAGATGACGTCATTCAACCAATGACACGTGATCATACGTTTCCCATCTGCAAGAGCCTTTCTGTAATAATCTCCATTCTGATGAGAACAGAGGACATGAGTGACTTTAGTGGAATACACATCTTCAACCACGCCCGCATTTTGTCTGATAACCTTGGAAAAACAAAGAGTACAAATCGAAGTGAGATATTGTAACTTAGCAAGCCAAGAAACAGATCAAGGTTTTGTCAACATGGACCGTCAGATCACATATAGTCTCAAGCTCACCTTTTTCCACGTATTGATGGTTCCTGGCTGAACAGTTTCCTGATAATCAGATATGAAGAACACACACCCAGAGAGAAGCGTGCCTGAAACAGAACGATATAACATTGAGTTGTTCCAGAAGCGCTAAGCAAGTAAATTACGCGTTGCTGACACAATGATCAGTGCATGTATCTTTCATCTCTTTGACTGAGGTTTGATTCCTTCAATATCCAGTTGTCTCATTATAATTTCACCTCAGTCACATGTGAGAAGAATGCTTCCAGTTTGACTCTGCCAAACATCGCTTATTTTTCCCAGTTTCTTCCAGTTGCAATGTTACATATTGGATGTATAAGAGACGACCATTAACTAGCCATTCCGAAGTTGATGAGTGGACTGGGGACGAGTGTTAAAAAGTGCCCAAATCACTAAAAGACCACCTCAAAATTTGTAAGTATACAAAGTTTGAAGACGTTTACATGAATACCCTTCGAATAATAAGCTATCGAAAATCGCGATATTTACTATGAAATGTATTGTAATTTTTGTTTTTGGGACGCGCGTCCCATCTTTTAATCAGTAATTTCACAATTTTCGAAAGCTTATTATTCGAAGGGTGTTCATGTAAACGTCTTCAAACTTTGCATACTTACTAATTTTGAGGTGGTCTTTTTAGTGATTTGGTTCATTTCTTAATTTGGACACTTTTTAACACTCGTCCCCAGTCCTCTCATCAACTTCGGAATGGCTAATGGCCTCTCGGAAGAAGTTTAAAACTGATAAAGATAGTTTCGTTTAGGATAATGTAGTCAAATTTTGAGCTCAGTGATACTCACAAACGACAATCTCTTTGTTAGAATCATTCTCACTACCGTTCTCTTGAACTTCCATTCCTTGCATCCCATCTTTCCCGCCATTACTCTTCCCCAGGTCCTCTGTATTGCTCTCGGCTTTGTATGTGCTATTAATCGACTCTTCAATGTAATCATTCTCGGCCAGAGCCTCAACCACGCCCAGAGTTTGTAAAGCTTGATCGGCACTTTCAGCTGCAGAGCGCCGTCTTTTGATTCCATCATTCGTCGTTTCATTTGTGTTGCCTTGATCAAGCTTCTCATTTGTCGACTCTTCAGAGCTGTTTTCGCTTTCTACATAGGAAATTTACACCCGTTTTCAAAATTACGCGACGAGGCCGAAAATAGCTGGAGTTTTATGTTATGCGATCACGAAGTTAAAACTGTTTACAACTTTGAGTTTTGTAGTTCATTATCAATGTATGTGCTTTGTATAAAAAGTTAACAAGGATTTTCTAGATATTTGTGTGATAATTATCGCAAAATTTAAGCCCAACGAAATATAATATTACAGCTATAGTCTCACGCAAACGGGTTTGTTATACATTAAATTCGAGGTAAATTTCTGTTATTACAAGTTGAACCTACAATGGTGCCGACCATTCGAGAGTTGATCAAAAGTTTTCCGCATTTGGGAAACATGGCTAGGAAACAATGTTTCCTGGTTTGTCCACCTTTGGGAAACATGGCTAGGAAACAATGTTTCCTGGTTTGTCCACATTTGGGAAACATGACTAGGAAACAATGTTTCCTGGTTTGTCCACCTTTGGGAAACATCTAGGAAACAATGTTTCCTGGTTTGTCCACCTTTGGGAAACATGGCTAGGAAACGATGTTTCCTGGTTTGTCCACCTTTGGGAAACATGGCTAGGAAATAATGTTTCCTGGTTTGTCCACCTTTGGGAAACATGGTTTCTTTTTACCTTTGTTATCTGCTGATAATTTCTTCAATTTTGAAACAGCAGGTGATTCAGGACTCAACAACGATGACGGTGTCTCAGTAACTCGTTCAATGCCCGCATTGACTACAGCACCGGTGGTCTCGCCATGATTGTCTGGAGTGAGTATAGACTGACTTTGTGTCTCTGGATCATTGACTGGCGCATATTTCGATTCGTCTAGGAGTGTCTTGGCTTTAATACAGTCTAAAATCCACTCTGGGATGACTATTTTGACTTTTTGCTTATGCTGCAAAGCGACTTCATATTTCTCCTGAAAGTTAGGAACGCTATTTAGTTGGGGAATTTATTGCAGGCAGAACGCATCTATGACGAGGAGTGAACTAACCCCTTCAGGTTTAGGAACTAACAAGTGTGTACATTTGGAATCAAACGTTGTGTGACATTGTCCTCCATAGAATGTTATCATGGCCCACAATGCATCCCTGTCATCTGGCGGCATCTAAAAGGTCAATATTCGATAAAATCAATGACAATATTAAAATTTCACAAAAGTACAGTACAGGAATTATCTGTATAGTTCGTTCTAACACGGACAAACTTGTAAAATTCTTTACATACGATACAAAATGACACAAATATTAGGATAATATCAGATATGATTTGTTCTCAAAACCAATGCCAGTATAGATCACTCTATTCTAGATAGCTAGTTCATCTGGATAGTGTAGTTTGTCTTGTGTTTACGCTAAGACCAGATGCATGTGATATGTTTCAACGAACAATCTGTCTGCGGCATGAATCTGGGCATTAATTACAAATCCAGCACACCTGTGAAGGACATGCTACCACATCTGAGAACAATTTCTTCTCAAGGGAAAAGGCGGCCGTTCTGATAAATAGTTAAGTCAACTAGACCTTCAAATACAAAGATGCTTATTTCAACTCTTAATTTGGTTGGTTTCAGTCAGTGTCAGAGGGCAGCGGATGGTGGTACTAAGTCAGAAATGGGGACACTTATAGGTGCAAACTACGTCAAATACAACACGGCTAGATATATAATGAAATGAACATTATTTTCTCACTCTGATAAGTGCAGGTTGACCACCACCTGCTGCACGATAGTGCTCAGTGAAATTCACCCAAAGTACCCCGTCTTCCCTTTATAGCCTGGTTCACATATGCCTGCGACTGTATCATTATGCCTCTACTTGCCGCCGAAATACCGGCAAAGTTGAACTCAAGTCAACTTTCCCGGCCTACCGCCGATGTAACTGGCACTGGAGGCAATCGGCGAACAAATATTCGCATAATTTACGTTTTAAGCTACCACCGGCATCGTCGCCGGCACGTCGCAGGCATATATGTGAACCAGGCTTATAGTATATAGTATATTTTCTTTGTTTTATTAATGAAGATATTTTAAAAGTTTCGAAAAAGGATACGGCATCATAACTTCACATTTGACAGAATAGATCACCCATTCAGGCTGAATAAACAATAAGGTTCACAGTTAGATAGCGGTGGTGATGGTGACGATGATGACGATGAATAGTGGTGGCGGTGATGATGGTAACAATGATGATAATGATGATGGTAATGATAATAGTGATGATAGTAATAGTGATGATGGTGGTGATTGTGGTGATGATGATGGTAATAATGATGATGGTAATGATGATGATGGTAATTGATGATGATGGTAATGATGATGATGGTAATTGATGGTGATGATGGTAATTGATGATGATGATGGTAATTGATGATGATGATGATGATAATGATAATAGTGATGATAGTGATAGTGATGGTGGTGATTGTGGTGGTGATGATGATGGTAATGATAGTAATTGATGATGATGGTAATCATGATGATGGTGATGATGAGGTAGTGATGGTAATGATGATAATGGTGATGATGATAATGGTGATAATAATGGTGATAATGATGACGATAATAATGGTGATGATAATGATAATGGTGATGATAATGATGATGATGATGACGATGGTAATGATGATAATTGTGATGACAATGGTGATGACGATGGTGATGACGATGGTAATGATGACGATGATGATAATAGTGATGATGATGATGATGATGGTGATGATGATAATGGTGATGACGATGGTGATGACGATGGTAATGATGATGATGATGACGATGGTGATGACGATGGTAATGATGATGATGATGACGATGGTGATGACGATGGTAATGATGATAGTGATGATGATTATGATGATGGTAAAGATAGTGATGATGGTGAATTATCAGAATTAAAATGTCCTGACCTTAACCATAGGTATCCCAGCCTCCTTGGCTTGCTCATACTCAGGAAAATTAGTTGTACTTGATACAACATGTGTTGCTAAGTTACTGAAAAAGAACTCTCTGGCAGCACCACCTTGTTTGAGAATATCTTTTACCTAACATGAACAAAAATAAATGACATTTAATCATAGCTCAGAACCTAAACTAACTTTATTTATAGATGACAAGTCTATCAGTTCTAGATAACTCTATCAGCTCCAGTAAGGATCATCTCTTATTGATGACACAGGAATAGCTGGCAAAAACCTGCTGTTTTTGGTAGAGACAAACTGGAATCTGACAGAGATGAATTTATACAAATTATACTATAAAACAGAATATCTATATTTATGTGCTGAAATTGAGTATTAACGATCTATGATGCTACACTTATGAATTACAACATTCACAGGAAAGAAATGACTTTTTGCAATCCAATCCTTCACTTTTATAAACTTAAATCTATAGATGATCCGTAAATTACACTGATAATTTATGTCTGGACACAATAAATCTCAGTCTGCTCTGGAGTCTGGACAAAATCTAACCCTAATACAAGTCAAATACACGAATTTAATGCTGCTATCTGCAAACTATAGTTAGAAAACATAGATATGTTTCCCCTTACTTTATCATTGCCTTCCTCAGCTAAGTAAAATTTCACATTTTTGAATAAATCTTTCGGTATTTTCAACAATTGATCCGCCATGTTGTTTTTGAAGATTTCAGACGCGCGCTTTGGCGGGAACGTTGCGTGGGGATTCACACGAATGACGAATCTCCACGCGTGGGTATCACGCAACCTCGTTCCTAGGAATCACGAAGTAGAAAGTGGACGCTTTCGATAAAAGTGACGCCATATTAGATTCGCATTGCATTACGGTATAAAATGGCAGGTTTCAATCTTCAAGAATCTGTACCCCAGTGTTACCAGGTTTAGTACATTTTATTACCAGATCCGGTTGGATGCCCTTAGACAACCCCACCTGCTTTAAACAACTGCAACATTAAGAACAGGAGGGGGCAGCCAACCAATTTTAAGCAGCTTTAGTAAAAAAATTTGCATATATGGTCACACTGCTGTACCCGCAGTTACAATCAATACTGTTTAATTTCAGCTGCCTAGAATATAAGTCGATATGAATTAAAAACCTAATCTTAATTGCAATTTAATAAAGACTGTCTATAAAACAGCGTATTGTAAATACTTGTATGTAAATGTGCGCAAAATATCGTTTACCATGTCAATAAAACTGATATGCGGTTTGTTGATTACCAGTTCTACATTTATGCAAATTGTAGAGATAAAATTGTTTCAGACAATACACGACAATGCATATAAAAAACATAGAGGCCAAAAGGTTATTCCAATTGGTCACGCTCGTATGGTTACGATATACGCAAGCATGACAAAGTCTCGGGAGCATTCAACACTTCAACTACGTTTGTTTATCCGAGTATCACAACACAAGTGTGAATTGTCTGGCCTAAGGAAAGCTAGATAGTTAAATTCACATTGGAAAATTCAAATGTGTGGCATTGAGATGAGATGGTATCGAACTATTACATCTGTGATAACTTTATTAACTGCTTGTATTGCTGTTCAAGCCATCAAGAATTGTCCTAGTAATATTACCATTAATTCCAAAGGATATTTTGAAGCTTATTTGAAAATTTTGGAAAATGGAAGTACTTCTGGGATATTCCCTCGATTATTAACTGTGAATGTATCCAGAGTTTGTTGTGGTGGCGAGCAGAATATTTCAATCAGGTTTGTGAACGAGACCACACGAACGTCTGTGCGGACATTGCTTTATTTGGAGCGCGAGACGCGAGAAGGGAAACCATTTGATAATACGACCTTGGATTTCTATTTTCCCGCTTATACCACGACATCCGAAGCGACAGAGGTTTATAAAGAGTTTCATTTCATTGAAATTGTAAAAAGTCCTGGTCCGGCGTTCATAATGTTGATTGACGAACTGCAAGAAGCGCCTGACCCTTCTGTGGTTTTAATTGAGTGCTGGCCTATATTCGTGTTGTTGCTCGTCATGGCTTGGGTTGTCGGCATCATTGGATGGTTTTTGGTAAGTAGCGAGATTTTAACTCCGGCCAGACCCCAGAGTTAAGGTCACGAGATATTCTCAGAACCGATTGCCTTTGAACATTGTTAACATAACTTCAAGTTCACAGAATCAAATTACCATCTCCAACTTTACCCAAACAATGTACCCAATTTTATCAGGATTTTGGGCACTCACTCGATAGAACTTACAATTTGTAGGGTTTTTGTGGGTGCAAATGTTGAGCGGACGATTATGTAGAATATTGTACATTGATTGTTCTGAGAAAGATTAATGTATAATAATCGTATCTAATCTTGAGCAATTGTCCTGATAATAATCTTGAGCTATCGAGTCAAATTTACACCCATAATTTAGCGCTGACCGCGTCGCGTGCAGCAAGCTTTGGTCTCAGATAATCTGTCAGAGGGTTGATGATTTTGATAATTGTTTATCAGTCGTTTACACAAGTATAGTGATGCACAAGTGCATTTATACAGGGTGAGTAAAAAAATCTGATACCTTCGCGGCTAATTTGAATAACAAAAGTTTTTTTTACTCACCCTGTATTTAATCCTATTCGAATATTCAAATCGTTATGGAAATTACAGAAGCGTAACGAGCGTCATAAGTTATTCTAGTTTCCTCTGGAAACGCCATGACGTTACGAGCGCCCTCCAGCCTCCAGCCATGCGTTCGCTTCACGTCTAGATAATGGTGATTACGTATTTGATACCGTGGGGGCGTTCAAAATTACGAATGTCAAATGACAATTACTCGAAACGAACGGTTGTACTTGTAAACACGATGAAAGCTCGCACAAACAATACCAAGCGCTCACAGAAACCTTCAAAAACACGCACAAATCGAAATCTCGCCTGGCGAAGTCAAGGCGACAACAACAAATCGATATGCTATCAATCAGAGCACAGCGGGAGTCTAGTAGTTAATAGTCATGATGCTGTGATATAAATTATACTGATACGATGTGACGCTTGGTTAAAATGTACCTGCTGTTTTAGGTGTTGTGTTTCCGTACGTCTGTTTATTTCAAAACTTCAGAGAAGAAAACTAAGTTTGCTTTGAATTTTAGCTTAACCTGGGGTTAAGGTAATCGGCTAATTTCGAACAACCAGCTCCTGGTTATAGAGTATGTAAGATTTAGAATAGTTAAATATTTTCCGTGTAAATATCGACAGAGTAGTTTGTTTCAAAAGCAAGAAGATTAGTAATTGGTTTCAGGAGCAGGAAAATTGAACTATGTCTGTCATTTCTATATTTTCCATTGACTATACTACATAGAATGAAAAGAATTACCATTATATTCTCACTCTGAAAACTGCAGGTTGAACATCATCTGCTGTACAATAGTTTTGTGAAAGCCAGCTACAAGTGGAGAAATATATTTTTATAAATTGTTTCAGGATCGGAGTAAAAACGAACAGTTTCCTGAGAATTTTTACCGGGGATCCTGGGTAGGATTTTGGTGGGCTGTTGTTACTATGACAACTGTGGGGTAAGATTTGTTATATTTGATTGTGATGATGATGTTAATGATGGTAGTGATGATAATGATCGTGATAATGATGATGATAATGATGGTGGTGATGATGGTGGTGATGATGATGGTACTAATACAACACTATACTACCCTAGGTATGGTGACAAAGCACCGAAATCGTTCGCAGCTCGTGTCATCACAATCCTCTGGATGATAACTGGGACAATAGTCACTTCATTATTTACGGCAAATGTCACGACAGTCCTGACAACAAAAAACGTCGCAGCGTTGCAGAATGTTTTGGGACAAAAGGTAGCACTTCATACGACTTATACTGAAAGCCAACTAACGGTATTCAACTTTAAGCTTACCTCAATTCACCAGTCAATGCTGTAGTAGCAGCTAGCTTTTATCACGCCTAAAAAAAGAGAATCATTTTACACTTCACTTAATTTTCTTAGGTTGGTGTGTTAAATAGTAAGCAATTCTTTCAACGTGAAATCAACGAAGGTGCGAGTTTCATCGGTAAGCGATAAATGAAAACAGTTTAGAATTGATGGAGCTATCCAGTATAAATAAAGTTAGTTTAGTTTAAGTTTCCTCCTGTAGTAACACTGGATCAATAAGACATGATCCATACTGGACCTCTAGGAAGAACAGTTTAGAACTGGTACAGCTATCCAGTATAAATAAAGTTAGTTTTGATTCTTAATTCAAATTCGTTTTTCAGAATACTATGATCAGGAAACCATGTATACAGCTTTCGACAACAGAAAAATATCTCGAATTTTAGCTCCAAACTACTTGGACCATCTGTACTTCGCAACTAAGGAACATTTAGCTAACAACTTCGTGATTGCAAGGGTGGTCAAGCATCCTTTCTCCGTGGGACTGGGCCTTGTTGATGATAAGAAACAATTCGGTGAAGAGATGATGGAATTTCTCAGATGTTGGGAAAGACAAATTATTAATAATTTTGAAGAAGTATGTGGGTTTACATTTAGTTGTGTATTTTTGTAAAATACCACCATCGCCATAATCGTTATCATCACACCACCACCACTACCATCATCACTACCAGTCTACCACCATCATTATCACCATCACCACCATCGTGATCACCATCATCATCATCATCACCACCAGCAAAACCATCGTGATCATCATTACCATCATCATCACCACCATCATCATCCCCATCACCATCATATATAATCTTTTGCACTTACGTATTTCAGGATGGTCTGGATTACTCAGTAATAGACCCGAGCCTGTACCACACAGCAGAGAATGCACGAAGCTTGCTGAACCAGAAGAGTATCCTGAATCTAATCTATGGTCTCCTGGTGTTGCTATTCATCTTTCTTGTCACTGGATCGCTCTGGGAATTCTGGAAACGTAGTAATGCAAGAGCAGAAAAAATGACGTCGATGGAACCAGTAGGTATGAAAGGACCTCTGTATGATCTAACCATGCTTAACTCAGCAGTGAGTTCTGTACAACATCAGATCACTTTAAGGTAGCCCACCTTCAAGAACATCTACTACCTCTGTATGATCTAACCATGCTTAACTTAACCCACATTCAAGAACATATACTACCTCTGTATGATCCAAATTTCTACAAGATTCCATCTATATTTTTATCTTCAGAAATTGAGATGACTAAAAGAGCGTCCCCAACACTCAGCTTTGATGGCAAAGCCTAGAGTAATGGTTAGTGAGACTGCTGAAGACATCTCAATCAGAGATATACGACATGTTTTAAAATAAATACAATTAACAATAAATATGCACCTGTAAAAATCCGTAATAAAATAACTCTCTTTAAGAGTTTACTGCAGAATTATTGTATGCATTCCTTGTTTTTCAAAATATCTCAAACGTGGGGAGTCCTGAACTACCTGAAAAGATTAAAACACTGCAATATTTCGACGGAAGACTACGAAAGATTTTAATTATTGGATCGGAGACATGTTATTTCTCCCCTGTTTAAAAAAATTTAATCAATTCTTAATTCACTACAAACTGTGCGTTTACATTAAAAAGTTTGTTCGTCCAATAAAATCAATGAAAACTTAATAATCTTTCTTGAATTATTTATTACGAAAAACGGCTTACGGGCTCGAGGCTTCGTCGAGTAAATAAAAGCGTCTTCTACTGAAAACAAAAACGCTGTTAAGAGTTTGTGTAAGACTAGTTGAGAAAGCGCAAAATGCGAAGTCTTATTGTAATTTTAATACTTTTTCCAAGTATTCTTGGGACATATAGTTGGGGGGACAACTGCCCGAGCGATGAGCACAAAAATGTGAGAATATTATGGATCGAATACGCATCGTTTTACATCAAGCAAGAGAGCAATGGTACGCTGACGGGCATCCTTCCTCGGATCATGAAAAACGCGTTAAAAGAATGTTGTGCTCGCTTGAACTACAGCTTTGTAAAAGTGAACTATCAAAAGAACGCCAAACACGCAAGAGAATCTTACGGTGCAATCCAAAACACAAACAACACTATATTTGTCATGTTTCCGTCCCTGGTCGGTGTCAACGATCCGTCTGCTTCGATTCCGTTTCTTTTTATACCGATAAAAAATTCGCCAGGACCTATGATTTTAGCAAGCACGAAATCACTTGCAAACGACGCGGATTCATGGTTTTTCTTCGAAATGTGGTTTAATCCAGTCTTTTTCCTCATTCTGGCTTCGTGCGCGTCCGCTGGTGTGGTTTTCTGGTTGATGGTGGGTATATTTTAGCCTGTGTTGTATATTGAGAAAGCTTAGGATTGATAGGGATACAGCTAGCTTAAAAATACAAGGATAATTTCGACGTTTTGAGCGACTTCCTCGGGGCGTTTGTAGCTATAGGCGTCAATTTCACATCATCGATGATAATTTTGTGTTTTAATTGACAGTTTTTACTATTATTTTATGTTCCTCGACCGGTAAATGCATTTAAAAAGGTAGGTAACTGTATAAACTAGAGAGTAAAGCCAAAACAAAGTAGTTTGGAAAGGAACGCCAAAAATATTTTAGGTTTTGAACGCTATTCATCGCACAGTATACGCGACATAAAAAATATTGCTTTTTAATATATAATGAATTATTAATGTGAAGTGAATAAAATATGAAAAAGCAATAACTTTTTCCGTAAAAACATAAACATGCAGTAATAAACAGTAGCTGCTTGAGGCCAAATGAAATACTGGCGCCTACATCTACTAGGATTTTATCTAATTATTCTAGTCAGGTTGAAAACGTTGGTGACAAACGTTGCGCCCAAAAGGTAGAAATTTCTAGAATTTCATTAGAATTTCATTTCTAGAATTTCGTAGAATTTCAGACATTTCTAGAATTTCAGAAAATTTCTAGAATTTTAGAAATTTCGTAGAATTCAGAAATTTCTAGAATTTCGTACAATTTCATTTCTAGGTAGTTCAGGCACAAACCATGAGGGCATACTAGTAGAAAAGGTTTCTCGATCAAAGTGTATTGAGAAAACAAAATGTACAAAAAATCTGAAATTCAGATGTTTTATCTTCTAGGAATTTCGAGATACAGAGAACAAACCTCATTCTCCATTCTCTAACTTCATCCGAGAAATGGGAAACAGTCTTTGGTTCTCGATCGTTACCATGACAACAGTCGGGTACGTCAGCTGACGTCAGCATGCTCCTGTAATGTCAGTGGACCAATAAGTGATCCCGATTATATACAGGTTCACACTATAGGAAGAACAGTTCAGAACTGATAGAGCTACTCAGCATAAAGAAAGTTAGTTTAGTTTAGGTTTCCTCCGGTAGTAACACTGGATCAACATGAGATGATTCTTACTGGACCTCTAGGAAGAACAATTTAGGACTGATAAAGCTATCCAGTAAAAATAAAGTTAGTTTAGTGTAGCTTTCCTCCTGTAGTAACTCTGGATCAATAAGAGATGACGCTTACTGGACCTCTAGGAAGAACAGTTTCGAACTGATAGAGCTATCCAGTGTAAATAAAGTTAACAGTTTAATTCAGTATGATACCAAATCTAATAATTTCACATCAAAACCAACCTTACACTGTAGTTATGGTGACATAGTTCCAAGGAATCCACTGGCGAAGTTTCACGCTGTACTGTGGATGTTATCTGGGACAGTTCTGACATCATTATTCACAGCTCACATCTCCAGCGCTATGACAACACTAAATTTCGACGAAAGCAAGAGTCTGTTAGGAAAGAAGGTAAAATAGCTTACACATCTCTAGATCTTAGTAAGGCGTAGTGCAAACGTCGTGCCCATCACGTGCAGCCTAATAACCTAAACTCGTTGTTGAACTCATTTGAACTACACGCATAAAACCCTCACAGCTTGTCAATAAGATGTGTTCGCACTGCTTGTTCCCAGTTGTTGACAAGTCTGGAACAAATTCTTATCATCTTGTAACAAGGTTGATGAGGCCAACAGACTTGCAACAAGTTGTTCCAACAAGTCTGATATCCTCTGCACAACATAACCTTTCAACAAGTTGATGACAACAAGCTCACAGCAAATTGTTACGAACAGCCTGTATTAGTCTTGTTGGAACAAATCGTGGCAAGTCTGTTACCGTCACACCGTGCCGTCACAAACCTTGTAACAAGGTGATACCAACTTGTTCTACACTGGATGCATTAATGTTGTAAGCTTTACACTAAGTGGGATCTTTGTTTGTCATAGCTTGGTGTACTTCACGGCACACGAATGTTCTTTGAAAATGAAATAAATTTTGGAGCAATGATGTCAGGTAATTCGCAAAGGAGAACAGTTTAGAACTGATAGAGTTATCCAGTATAAATTAAGTTAGTTTAGTTTAGGTTTCCTCCTGCAGTAACACTGGATCAATAAGAGATGATCCTTACTGAACCTCTAGGAACAACAGTTTAGAACTGATAGAGCTATACAGTATAAATAAGGTTAGTTTAGTTTAGGTTTCCTCCTGTAATAACACTGGATCAATGAGAGATGATTCTTACTGGACCTCTAAGGAAGAACAGTTTAGAACTTATAGCTCATCCACTATAAATAAAGTTAGTTTAGTTTAGGTTTCCTCCTGTAGTAATACTGGATCAATAAGAGATGACCCTTAGTGGACCTCTAGGAAGAACAGTTTAGAACTGATAGAGTTATCTAGTATAAATAAAGTTAGTTTAGTTTAGGTTTCCTCCTGTAGTAACACTGGATCAATAAGAGATGATCCTTACTGGACCTCTAGGAAGAACAGTTTAGAACTGATAGAGTTATCCAGTATAAGTACAGTTAGTTTAGTTTAGGTTTCCTCCTGTAGTAACACTGGATCAATAAGAGATGATCCTTACTGGACCTCTAGGAAGAACAGTTTATAGAACTGATAGAGCTATCCAGTATAAATAAAGTTAGTTTAGCTTAGGTTTTCCCCTGTAGTAACACTGGATTAATAAGAGATGATCCTTACTGGACCTCTAGGAAGAACAGTTCAGAACTGATAGAGCTATCCAGTATAAATAAAGTTAGTTTAGTTTAGGTTTCCTCCTGTAGTAACACTGGATTAATAAGAGATGATCCTTACTGGACCTCTAGGGAGAACAGTTTAGAACTGATAGAGCTATCCAGTATAAATAAAGTTAGTTTAAATAACAATACTCACAACTTTTCTTTCTTCAGAATACAAGGAAGACGATATCTTCAAGGCTTTGGAGCAAGGGAATGTTTCCAGGGTGTTGTTACCAGATTTTCTAGAAGCGATGTATTATTTCTCAAACTCACATCGTGAATATTTCCACGAAAGTTTTCGCATCGTAGACACCATCCGACACCCATTCTCGTTTGGAATCTCAATCGCCTCTGTCCATGACTTGAACGCCAAGTTTACGGGCTGTTTAAGAATGTGGTTGAAATGGTCTTACATACAGGTAAAACACGATATGATTACGTGGTAGTCCAGTGTAGGTAATATTCTACAATAAGCTGTCGTGGTTTGTGTCTGAACTACCTGAAAAAGATATCTCAAACGTGGTGGTCCAGTGTAGGTAGCATTCTACAATAAGCTGTCGTGGTTTGTGTCTGAACTACCTGAAAAAGATATCTCGAACGTGGTGGTCCAGTGTAGGTGGTATTCTACAATAAGCTGTCGTGGTTTGTGTCTGAACTACCTGAAAAAGATATCTCAAACGCGGTGGTCCAGTGTAGGTAGTATTCTACAATAAGCTGTCGTGGTTTGTGTCTGAACTACCTGAGAAAGATATCTCAAACGTGGTGGTCCTGTGTAGGTAGTATTCTACAATAAGCTGTCGTGGTTTGTGTCTGAACTACCTGAGAAAGATATCTCAAACGTGGTGGTCCTGTGTAGGTAGTATTCTACAATAAGCTGTCGTGGTTTGTGTCTGAACTACCTGAAAAAGGCAATTAACTATTTGGCAACGGCCTAAGATATTTCAATTTTTTCAGGCAGTTCATACACAAACCACGACAGCCTTCGCTCGAAACGTCGAGTGTCTGCTTGTTTTTTAAGGTAGTAATATAACCACTCAGCACAGCATTTTCACATTGGTACTACCTACACTGGTACAGACAGTTTTAGCTTACTAATGCACTGTGTCTACCTTCTTAGGACAACAACGTGGATTACTCTGCAATTGACGCCAACTTCATCAAAATGCATTCCCTGGAAGTGCTCGCAGATCAGCTGTTGACACGTATGACATTGTACGCTATCATTCTTGCTGCTATTCTGCTGGGTCTTTGTATGATCGGATGGATTGTCAGAACATTGCTGCAAAGAAGACTTGGAAAAACAGATTCAAAGAATGAAACGAAAACTTAAACTAAACCACCTTTATTTATACTGGATAGTTATATCAGTTCTAAACCGTTCTCCCCAGAGTCATCTCGTACCGATCCAGTGTTACTACAGAAGGAAACCTAAACTAAACTAACTTTATTGATAGTGGATAGCTATATCAGTTCTAAACTGTTCTGCCTAGAGGTCTGGTAAGAGTCATCTCTTGTTGATCCAGTGTTATTACAGGAGGAAACCTAAACTAAACTAACTTTATTTATACTGGATAACTCTATCAGTTCTAAACTGTTCTCCCTAGAGGTGCAGTAACATCATCTTGTATTGATCCAGTGTTACCACGGAGGATACCCTTAAAGTTTCAGAAAAGGTTTCCGTATAATGTAGATAAAACTTAACACTGCACAATCAAATGTGAACTAGCTTTATTTAGATTAAAACTAAAGAAAGATTTTTAAAAGTCCTTTGCACATATAACGAATGTTATTCAGAACAATTGAAATCCTGTTGACTCTTACGAGACCCTTGTCCTGTTGTCAACGTCAATATTCTTTATTAATAATAATGTAAATATCGACAATACTTTATTGTACATACATATTAACTGTTTTCCTAGCTCCGTACTTGTAAAGAAATAGGAACAAATAATAATAAAATAGTGATTAGAAATAAATAGACTAGAGTATAGCTAACTATGACTTCAATATAGACATGCATCTTATAAAGGTATAGAATACACTATAGTCAATAATATGCTAATTTCATTGGGGTTCAAAGGCAAAGCGAATTGTCCATTTTAGCAGAAGATACAATGAATAATACGAGTTGTTTAATTTGAATGCTCGATATTTCTTGCGACTTGATAATATGTAAAACAACCTACCAGCGCCATCAAAATCACAAACATGTAGACATTATTAGACAACACTACTTTCAAAACTAATACCAAACAGGCTACAATAATAATCAACAAAGCCAAACTAGTTTCGTTCGGGATATTCCACGCGCAAAGCCAGCAGTCTTTGCTTTCAGTAGAATTTTGGCCATTGGAACTGGAAGGATTCTGGGTCAGAGGTGCATTTTGGAATACGTTTTCGATGCTTTGAGAATTGTTTAAGTCGGTGGCTGGTTCAGTGTTGCAAATATTCATGGATTCGCATTCTTTTGAATCGAAATTGCTGACATCTTCGTTGGAAATTATCGCTTTTTCCTGTGATTCTTCTGTTTCATTATTTTTTGTTTCCTCATTCATTCCTCTGTCGCCCTCTCTTGCACGCTTTTGACCATCTTCTTCCATTTTTTCGTTTGTGTATCTTAAATTATTCTCGTCTACCTTGCCAGCGACTTGATCAATAACTTCCACGGATATCTGCTCGTCTGTTTTGTCAACTACGTCATTTCTTGCCCCAGCTGTAAAAAAAAATCAAATGCATTATCCACAACAGTATATCCCAAGACAAAATATAAACAATAAAAAAAGACATCTGGAGATGTCACTGAACGAAGACATAACAGTTTAGAACTGATAGAACTATCCAATATAAATAAAGCTAGTTTAGTTTAGGTTTCCTCCTGTAGTAACACTGGATCAATAAGAGATGATCCTTACTGGACCTCTAGGGAGAACAGTTTAGAACTGATAGAGCTATCCAGTATAAATAAAGTTAATTTAGTTTAAGTTTCCTTCTGTGGTAACACTGGATCAATAAGAGATGATCCTTACTCGACCTCTAGGGAGAACAGTTCAGAACTGATAGAGCTATCCAGTATAAATAAAGTTAATTTAGTTTAAGTTTCCTTCTGTGGTAACACTGGATCAATAAGAGATGATCCTTACTGGACCTCTAGGAAGAACAGTTTAGAACTGATAGAGCTATCCAGTGTAAATAAAGTTAGTTTAGTTTTCCTCCTGCAGTAACACCGGATCAATAAGAGATGACTCTAGGAAGAACAGTTTAAAAATAAAGTACATACATGTTAGATCGCTTTCCTGTTTCAATCGCTCTTTTTCTTGTCTCATGTTTATTTCAACTATTTCTTTAATCAACCTCTCATTTTCTCTGCTCAGTTTTTCCTTTGATTCTCTTTCCAATTTTAAGTTGTTTCGCAACTCCTGACAAACATCACCACAGTTTGCAACCTAAGAAAATGATTCGTGAATTGATTTAGCGGCCAGTAGTTTGTGTCTGAACAGCCTGAGAAACATATCTCAAACGTGGTGGTTCAGTGTAGGTAGTATTCTACAATAAGCTGTCGTGGTTTGTGTCTGAACTACCTGAAAAAGATATCTCAAACGTGGTGATCCAGTGTAGATAGTATTCTACAATAAGCTGCCGTGGTTTGTGTCTGAACTACCTGAAAAAGATATCTCAAACGTGGTGGTCCAGTGTAGGTAGTATTCTACAATAAGCTGTCGTGGTTTGTGTCTGAACTACCTGAAAAAGATACCTCAAACGTGGTGGTCCAGTGCAGGTAGTATTCTACAATAAGCTGTCGTGGTTTGTGTTTGAACTACCTGAAAAAGATATCTCAAACGTGGTGGTCCAGTGTAAGTAGTATCTACAATAAGCTGTCGTGGTTTTTCGGACACAAAAGCACATCAGTCTAACCATTGAAATGATGGTCTAGGCAATCAAATGACGTCATTCCTACCTCATTTTTTTCCTGGGCTGCCAAGACTTGTGCCGAGACCTCTTCAAGTTGTTCCTCGGCGCGCCGTCGTCGAACTCTCTCGCCTTGCAGCTCTTCAAAGGTACTTTTCTCAAGCTTCACCAATTCTTCGTTCTTTGACATTTCTTCGGCTAATTTGCCGCTCGCCGCTCTAAACTTCGACAGGAGTTCGTCTCGTTCTCGCTTCTCATTGGTCAATTCATTACCGAGCTCGTTGAGTCGGGATTCCACTTTCGATGCTTCCACTCTAAGACGGGAATTTTCCATAGAAACTTCACGAATTTTCTTTAAATATTTGAGCTTAAATACTCTGAATAATTGCTTTCGTTCAAGCCAAAGACAGCACAGACCTAAAGTCCATAGCCCCACGGCAATTGTTGACAAAAAAGCCGAGCGTGTGACAATGGTTATTAGACTACAACATATAGCAGCACTCAACAAAATGTACGTCAAAAGCTTTCGTGTGTCTTTGTGGAGACTTAAATATTTTCCACCCAGAATCGAATCTTCGGTAAAATAGCTTTCTTCGACGTCATCAATCCCATAATTCTCTACGGCACCACCATTTTGAAAACACCCGGCACTTCCAAGATGGCCGCCAACAGTTTCGCCTTTTTCAAAATGACCGCCGGTGTGTTTTGAGAGTTGCTTGTCTTTTTCAACTAATTGAAGACGAAGGAACTCTACGTCCGAGTCCAAATCGAGCTTATCTTCAGTGTATTTCTGTAAATCTTCTTGCAATTGCGCTTGGCGCCGTTTGGATACATTATATTTATTTTTCAAGCGAATATAATCTCGTTCTTTGCACTGTAGATCTTTTCGGAGTTGTTCAACATTGTCCTTCAGGCGTTGCATTTTTGCTCCGTACCTGTCCTCGCGTTTTGAAGGTCCGGTGGTGTCTGATCCAGGCCCATCTGCAGTGTTATCTGTGCTCGGTCGTTCTCTGGGAAGATCTTCGAGCTCGGAGCTGTCCGTCCACCGAAGTAGTTTCCGGGGCTTCTCTGGTGAACTCGGTGCACTGCTCATGCTGCTCATGCTTCAGAATTTTACACTAAGATTATTTTCATAGAGATACTAAACCTGAAAAATAAATATAGCAATTATCAGAATTGTTTGATAGGCAAAAAACTAACTTCAGTTCTAAACTGTTCTCTCTAGAGGTCCAGTAAAGCTCATCTCTTATTGATCCAGTGCTACTACAGGAGGAAACCTAAACTAAACTAACTTTATTTATACTGGATAGCTCTGTCACTTCTAAACTGTTCTTCCTAGAGGTCTAGTAAGGATCATCTCTTATTGATCCAGTGTTACTACAGGAGAAAACCTAAACTAAACTAACTTTGTTTATACTGGATAGCTCTATCAGTTCTAAACTGTTCTTCCTAGAGGTCCAGTAAGAATCATCTCTTATTGATCCAGTATTACTACAGAAGGAAACCTAAACTAAACTAACTTTATTTACACTGGATAGCTCTATCAGTTTTAAACTCTTCTTCCTAGAGGTCCAGTAAGGACCAAAGTATATCTCTGGTATTTAAAAGAGCCAAACTAGAGGCACTCTTCTTTAATCCATGCAATGTAAACGGTCGCTATTCCAAAATGTGAATATAACTATGATAACAAAACCCTGAAATGTTTAGCTACAAACTGTATATACCTGTTAAATAAACCCAATATATTACCTTTCAAAAACTGTTCTTCATTACGGTAAATTAGTTGAAATCTGAAAATTACCAAGTGATGCAAAAACACAAAGTAATCACTTGTTAGATTTAGGGGTAATTGTTGTCTGCGAATGTTGAAAGCTTTCAGCTTGCCAAGGTCGGAGGTCCTAGCTTGCTTTGCATGTACTACTAAGGCTTTGCATATAATTGTGGTTAGCTGGTGGAAGGAATATTAATATTTAAAGTGCGTTGCCTGACGAGTGTATAATAGATTAGTACAGCTTGGAACACTGATCTGGGATGTAACTGGATAGCGAATGTTAAAGTAAGAAGTCATGGTTACGGAAACATCTGATTCGTGACAGCAACCGTCTTTCGCCTCTGAGATCGTGGGTTCTATTCTCGCTACGGACTCATGTGAAAAGAGTCAGTCAACGCTCTGCCGAAAGTCGTGGGTTTTCTCCGGACGCTCCGGTTTCCTCCCACAGGGAAAACTGACAGGCTGGGTTAGGGTAAACACAGTTAGGGAAGTAATACTACAATAGACCTTTCCCCTTATAACCAAAATTTTGATCTAGGCAAGTCTAGACAAATATTTCATCACAGCTTGAAAGAGCATCACAAAATTAGTAATATTCCAAAGTTTCGTTGTGAAATGTTGTAAAATGAGGAAAATAGAGCCATGCGAAGTTTGCAATTTTCAGTCATTTTGCATTACAAACGGGAAATTGCAGCCCCAACACCCGAATCGGATGTCAATTTCCCGTTCGTAATACAAAATGACTGAAAAACGGCAAACTTCGCAAGGCTATATTATCCGCATTTTACAAGATTTTGCAACAAAACTTTGGAATATTACTAATTTTGTGATGCTCTTTCAAGCTGTGATGAAATTTTTGTCTAGATCGAGATTTTAGTTATAAGGGGAAAGGTCCATTGTTGTAAAGATAAAAATAGTCCAGGCTAAGTATGTAATTAGGTAAATGTTTATAACTGGTAAATGTTAATTTAAAATGTTAATCCTAATCTCAATCTTGCTAGGAAACACTATCTTCTGGTTTGCCCACCTCCCAAAACGTTGCTAGGAAACAATGTCTCCTGGTTTGAGCCTCTTATGAAAACTGGTTCGCTCACCTCCCAAAACATCGCTAGGAAACACTGTCTCCTGGTTTGACCACCTCCCCCAAAACATCGCTAGGAAACATTGTCTCCTTTGCCCTTCGTTTTAATTGAAATATTGCTAGGAAACAGTCGCTCCTGGAATGCTCAATGTCTCCTGGTGGGCAACCACTTCGCCAAAACATCGCTAGGAAACATTGTCTCTTGGTTTACCTTCTTCTGACAATATCGCTAGGAAACAATGTCGTCTGGCTTGCCGACCTTCAAAAAAAACTACGAAAACATTGTCAGCAAACAATGTCTATAAAACAATAGGAAGTTATTTACAAAAAGCTTGCCTAAGCTCCACATTTAGGAAACATAGCTAGGAAAAATGTTTCCTAGTTTATCCATTTTCGGGAAACAATGTTTTCGTAAAAATATTAAAAACACTGTCTTTTCGCCAGAAAGTCAGTTCTGAATGGCCCCAACTCGCGATGCATTACGGTATGGATCTCACACCTTATTTGCGGGTACGTTTAGCCTACCCAGCCCGCATGGTTACCAAGCAATAAGCATAAACTATCAAAGAATGTTTGTTTAAAGCACAATACAATAGCTAATACTTTAAAAGCCTGCGGAAATTGAAGGATTATTTTTTTAATCGTAATGGCACCGAAATGCTATATGTTATGATTAATCACCAATAATACTTGAACATTTTTAAGTACAAAAAAGGATTCACAAATCTTTAGGATTCCAGCCATCATAGCAATAGCCATTTTCGGATTGAGTGTTTTGATGTTAATGTAGGCTTAAACTTGTAATGTAAACAAAACGCTATATCTACCTTGTCACCTGCTCATCCAAGCATACTATAGACAGCAATCATGGAACGGATTCATGGCCTGATTTATACAAGAAACGGATTATGGGTGAATACCTGTCTGCAGTAAAGACTGCTTTTAAAAGCTCGCTATTATGAACGAAATACGACTTATCGCAAAACGTGAATTAGGTGGCAACGAGTAGAATCATTCGTTGCGGACTGGATTTGTAAATTTCAACCTAAGAAACGAACCGATTCAAATCTATGACGGTTCCATGTTTTAAGAGTGCAGTTTTTTTATACACCCTAAACTTCCGCCTGCGTACGCCCGTTTGTGGGTTCGTAAGTGGCTCGCATATATTCCGTGAGACACAGATGCTCCATAATTATATTCGAATACATGCAACACGCGAGATGCATAATAGGCCAATTTTAAAAGTTTTATTCAAATACAGTATACCCGTCATTGTATATGTTCTTATAGGAAGTAAAAATCATAAGATCACTTTCTCCTTTCGAAAACCGCGGAAAACTTTGATGGATTAATGCTTAAATAAATCTAGGCTAAACTACAGATGAATAAGTAATGAAGCGAGAACCCAGAGTTTGTCGTGTGTATATACAAACATGTTATAATGTTCCTACTGAAATAACAACAGGAAAAAGCGCGGCTGGCCAATGAGGGATCGAGGAATTTCAATCTAAACAATATCCAGACGTGTGGGACGAAGTCTAGTTGAAGTGGATGAATTTTTTGAGGATTTTTTCTCTTTTAAGAAGATTTATAGCCACGCGACATGAGTTTAATGCTTCAAATTTGCATCCGTGTTATGAGTTGCTGTAGCGAAATATTTGCGGCTGGGATGGTAGTGTATTGAAAGGTTGTGGTTTGGAGGTAAGCTTACTGACATATATATTTCTTATGTTTACTTATTGTGTAGTTTAAGATGTTAAATGAAAATATTTTATATATATAACTATATTCGATGCTCATAAGATTTATTTATAACTAGAAACTAGGGTTCCTAACATAGGATACGGAAGATAACCTGTGTTTGGTATAGTCAAACTGGAAGAATTCTTCTCAAATGTGAATGAGGTGAAATTATAATCACACAACTGTTTATTAAACAGGAATTGAAACTCAGTCAGAGATGAAAGATACATCTCACCACTGTGTGTACTCAGCGCGCTCAAACACACACATGACAAAGTCCGTGACAACGTTGCATACATGAATTAGTGGCAATTTGTTATCATTGAAGATTATACGTTCACCAAGCACTATCGCGCAGAATATGGTATAGTCAACCCACAGTTACGAGAGTTATATATAATGAACATTATATTTACAAAGTTATTAGATACTAGACAGTACACATAACAAACTCTGTGGCAACAATGCATATATATAATTTATGACAGTTTGTTAATTTTCATTGAAGAATGGGGAAAAAATACTCCAACATTCTAGATGATGAACTCTTATGATCTGCCGAAGTCTATCCTACTCCGAACTCTGCGTTTGCAATTGCTAGCGCAAGGCAGTTCTTATAAACCTTTAATATTGCTAACTTAAGACTATAGAACTACAGAATGCATGCTATATTTAACTCTTTAACTTTTTACGAATTTGACCTCACACGTACTGAACCTGCTCCGATATTAGACAAATTTAGATTGGGTTGTTATTTTAAGTTCTTCGGGTTTGTTGTATGCTGACATGTGATATATCGTTTAGCTCAGTGAGGGGAATATTTTGATATCTGTATGAGCCTATAGAATGTATATTTCTAGTACAAGTATAAGTACAAGAATTTTTTTCAAATTTTCAAAATTGGAATTATTACCAAACTTTTGACCAATTATTTTTGAGAGGAATATTTCGATATGTGTCACGCGTATACAATGTATACATTTCTCTGAATTTGAAGAGAATATGGGTAGTTTATTATTCTTTACATAAGCACATGCTAACTATTTGTTGACTATCAAGTCTACAGGGATTGGTGGCTTTTCACTATATTACTTGCACAATATTTGAACCCCCAACAGAGATGAATGCTTGAGCCTTAGATATGGATGTTCTTGTGTCCACGTATCTCAAAATACTGCCCCCATAACACCGAAATTAAAAGGCCCACATGCAGAGCTTAAAGAACGGTGACAGCCTGCGATTTAGGGCTGTTGAATTGGCCCGCAAGCAGGTGGATTGCATGCAAGGATGTTATATATAATTATACACTTTCTACGGTTTCCAAATAGCGCGCAAGCTCAATTTGCCACCAGTAAACTATAGTATATACAAAATATAAGTCGATGAATATCAAAAACAGCGCAGAAAGCTTCTGGGGTAAACAAAAAACCGCAAGATGTTCTTGAACCGTTGAGAAGGAAAATTGAACAAAATACGCCATTCATAAACATTTCATTCTTCGACAATCTATCTTAATAAGATGGTGGTCTTCTCCCCATCATAGGGCAAACCGAAGCAACTTTACTGTGTAGCGCCAAAGCAGAACAAAGCAAAAAAAGCTCATGCGTTTAACGACCTGTCAAACTCGTAAGGCATACATTTGTAAAATGGAAAAGCTGTTCAATTTTTCCACAAGTACCTCCTTCAAACCGTCCACGCTTCCCCCTCTCAATATCGCAGCGGAAATATACTATTGACAAATTTATTTTAGAGCTACTAAAAGCTGTGTGACAAATAGCAGCAGGCTAAACCACCTGTTAAATTCCTTAGGCAACAACATTAAACACAAAACAAAACTTCCTTCGAGTAAGAAATATAGTGAACTTAATTTATCTCCAAGCATAATAATATACTTAAAATCGTCAAAAAGGCTACTTTACCATGGAAGAAATACCAGCAAATTAATTTGAACTACAAAGCCAAATTGAAAGGAAGATAAACAACACGGCATATGAAAGCACCCGCATAATTCGTTAGGCTTAACAATAAACAACAACTTTAACACAGGAAATGGCTTAAGTTTGTCCAAGTATTCTCATTCTTCAATCCATCTAAGCGTCTTTTCAACCGTTGAAAAACCATGGCAATTGAATTTGGAATTACTATAAGGCTAAATTTCCACTATACCGGATATAGGTTTCCGTAGCGGCGTGAAAAAGCACCTATCTGATACGGAATGTACAACTTTCAGAAGCTGAGCGAAACAATATCTCTCCGTGGCAATAATTCCTCTGAAAATAGCGTTCCTAAAAGGTAGGGATAGGCGTTTTTTCACGTCGCTACGGAAAGCTATATCCGGTACAAGTGTAAATGTAGCCTAATAGGGTGCGCAACGAAAAACCACAACGGCTAAACCACCTGTAAAAATACATAACGAACAAAATTAAACACATTCTTTCAAGCAAGACTGAGTCGCAAGAATTTCTCGCTGGATAATCCTTCTTCAAAGCAACAAAAAGTCACCTAAACCGTCATCTTCGTTCGAAGCAGCTACACATCCACACCACTGAAGGGCTGAGTAACAGAAGACGCCTAAACCAGAATAAGTCTTCATTGAAGAAAAAAATAACCAAGAACAAGATCCTCCTTCAAAGCAACAAGAGTGAAACTTAATCCCCTCAGCTTCAAAGTCAACCATGGGAAAACCGAAGCAAGCAGACCCTGAACCCGAGCTCCGTAAAGGCCTCCTCTACGAAATGCTTTTTTTCATGTTTCTCCAAGGAATGGATATGGGCGCCGCTTTCAACATTTGGCTCGAAGGAAGGCAAGCTTACGATGCATATGGCAAAATCCTCAACTATAAGAACACCACCAACACAACCAATCCTTACAAGCCCAAGGCTGTCAGCTACTGTACGACGACGGAATGGGATATGGAAAAACTTCATGAATTATACGACCTCTATAACACAGTCCTTATGATCTATCTCGTATGTCTAGCGCTTGCTGGCTTGGTATTTTTTCTACATTTTTGTATGTGGCTGATAGCTATCATTCTTTCCCTCACTAAAATTGATTTTATGACAGAACATATGCCACAATTAGTCAAAGGCAAAGCTATTTTCGCTGTCACAGAATCGTTCTTTCAAGATATTCCAATATCGTGCATTGCTATCGAACTGTATCTCTTAAGACGAGGTAGAGATGGACTGATATGTTATCTATGTACTCATATTCCCACTTGCACTAAAGCGGACCATTTGGACGACCTGCTCAGCACAAGTTCTGGCAAACTTAGTTTCCTGCTCTTCGCGGTAGCTTTGACAACAACATGGAAAGGCCTTACATTTATGTTTCGTTTTACACGAACAGGCGTGTTGGATATCTTCATTATTCGTGCTCTCGTCTCGCTGTTCGCCGCGGGAATTTATAACATCGTGATACTAACTCCAGCCATGGTGTTGCTTAAATATCGTTATTACACGCTGCCTGGCGTTACTAAAGGCTTCTTCGCGGATATTATAGACAGGGTAATGATTATTGGCGCGTTAATGTGGGTTATTGTATTGATGGGAGGCTGTTGCTGCCCACTTATGAGTATGATAAAGTTGGACTAATTATGCATTCTAAAACACGCGGGACGAATACGCGAGAAGTCCACGAACACGCGAGAAGTCCACGAACACGCGTGATTATACAGGAACTCGCGGGACGTGCCTCGCACACGGACCCGCGGGACTTACACGAACACACGTGGAAACAGAAAGACATCTTTTCAAAACAATCATTTGTTTGAATTTGATATTATGAAATAGAAATTATAGTTTAATGAACTAAAGCAGAATACAATAATTCAAATGAGAACAATCTGCTATTGTATTGTATAATGCACAGGAATTTAACAATGTAGAAATACTTCATAATAAAATATTTGATTGATGATTTAATGATTTAATAATGTTCGACAACTACTAAATTTAAATTTTAACAATGTAGTGCCAGGATACTCGCCACAGTGTCCCCAATTACGGCGAGTCCTTAATAATTACATCTAAATCACGTTAATATTAGTATTGAATAATCTAATAACAGACAACTGACAATACGCTTAACAAAACATAACATACAACAAAACATAACATACATGCAACTAGCAACATCTTAAAACACCGTCCAGGGACCTCGCCCTTCTACATTTAACACATATCGACTTCCATGTGCGTGGATAGTCACAATTGTATATTTTGGATAGCGCGTGTTCGTAATATGTCTTAAGTTTTGATTTAAAGGTATTCAGACCAATATCTCTGTGACGAAGATCACAGCCCAAAATGTTCCATGTTTTACACGCTCTAATGAAATAAGAAGTCTGGAAGGTCACCGTACTGGCAAATGGTATTGAAAATTTATATACGTTCTCATTTGTTTCGCTCCTCGTTATTCCAGAACCAGCCATTGTTGGTCGAGCACTGTCATCGATATATGTGTAGCCATTGATTATTTTGTAGAGTAGAACTAAATCAAAATATTCGTGCCAATAAGTTAAAGGAAGTAAGTCGAGTTGAAGTAGTCTTGTTGTATATGGAACGTTGGTGATAAAACCGAGATTTAAAATGTATTTTGTCGCCCTTCTCTGTACCTTCTCGATATTCTCGATTAATTTGATTGTTTGTGGAGACCATACTTGAGACGCATACGCAAAATTGTTGCGGACCAGTTGTAAGTAAAGGTACTTCCTCGCCCTGATGTCATGCATTTCCATTGTAGTCCGTCGTATAAATCCAAGCATTTTATTAGCTTTAGATCGCACCCTGTTTACTTGATTGATCCAGGTTAGGTTGGAATTTATAACAACGCCTAGATCAATTTCAGTGTTAGACAAAGCCAGTTGTTGACCGTCAAGACTATACGAAGTGATTAGCGGAGATGATTTCCTTGTGATAGAAAGTACTTTACACTTAGAATTGTTAAAACGCAACCTGTTTTCCTCTGACCAAGATTGGAGACTCCATATATCTTCTTGTAAAACCAAGGCATCAGAAGGGTTCTGCACGGCTTTATAGAGTTTGGTGTCATCAGCGAACAAACCGACCCCAGTAGAGGAGGATAAGTGGTTAGGTAAGTCGTTTATGTAAATAGAGAAGAGGAAGGGACTCAATAATGATCCTTGTGGAACGCCAGATGTAATAGGCAAGGATTGTGATGTAGCTCCATGAACAGTTACCCGCTGGAAGCGTCCTGATAAATAATTTTGAAACCAGAGGAGAACAGAACCAGAGAAACCAAATTCACCCAGTTTTCGCAACAAGTTGGAGTGGTCAACAGTGTCGAAAGCCTTCGCAATGTCCATAAAAACAACGTCAGTTTGTAACCCCTTGTCCAAGTTCTTTCCAATAGTGTTTAAAATGGATAACAATTGTGTTGCACACGACCTACCGCTTACGAAACCAAACTGCGCTGAATGAATGTTAGATTGTATATGATGAGATATATGGTTGAGTACACATCGTTCAAGAGTTTTGCTTACGATGGATAACAAGGAGATTGGGCGGTAATTTTCAACGTGGTCCTTGTTACCTTTCTTGTGTATTGGAATAATGTTCGCTAATTTCCATTCCGCGGGAACCTGGGATATTTTGAGTGACTTAGTAAAAAGGTAATGAAGTGATGGCGCCAATTGGTGAGCACATTCTTTCAGAATACGTGAAGGAAGCCCGTCAGGACCATGAGCTTTGGAAGGGTCTAAGTTCTGTAGAGCATGGCACACTTCTTCTTGGGTGAGATCAATTGATGAAATACTTGATATTGAAGAAGATGAACTAGGTTGAGTTGAGGATGGTTGTTCCAAGACGCTGGTGTATACCGAATGAAAGTACTCGTTAAACATTGATGCAATATTATGCGGTGTGGATGCCTGTGATCTACTTTCAGGATTGTTCGTACAAATTCTCGAGATGATGATGAGTCTGATGGAAGTTTCTTTGCGATTAATAAATAGTTATTCGGGATATATCCCCATCATTAATTTACTTGCTTATAGAATTTAAATGCTTGGTTACCTTTGTTCCATTCTATGTTCATATTATCAGAACAGTGGTAACTAGGCATGTGAGTTATCAATTCACTCATATATATAACTTAAATGCTTGGTTACCTTTATTCCATTCTATGTTCATATTATCAGAACAGTGGTAACTAGGCACGTGAGTTATCAATTCACTCATATATATAATTTAAATGCTTGGTTACCTTTGTTCCATTCTATGGTCATATTATCAGAACAGTGGTAACTAGGCATGTGAGTATTACTGAACCTCAGATATAAAACTTCTATTGTATAACTTTCAGATAAGATTCAATGATGTCACGACACAACGATCTACACAAGCCTGCACGCAGGCAGAACAGCCTGCCTGATGAGCTGCCCGTTAGGAAAGTTACCATACAGCAGAAAACGGTTCAACCTCTGAACACTTCCGTAGCTGCGACGAATAACTCCGACAGCTTCCGACGCTATCCAAACGTGGTATCCCATGACCCTAGCGGTCGTGGTCATCGCGGGAGACACTGGGCCAAACCAAGCAGGGGGGTGGTGGCGAACATTGTAAAAGACATAGACAGGGGGGTTGTTCCAAATAATGCGAGTGAATATGATGAGAGAAAGATGAGCGATGATTCAGTGAGGACTGGGACGAATTTCTCTAATACATCAAGGTATATATATATATATATATATATATATATACCCACTAGTCTCGAAATAAGATTGGATAGCTAAGTAAGGACATTATAATGGGAAACAGTTTTGAGGACAATCATAATCAATAGAATAATGTTAGATAACGAGGTCTATCCAGCGTTCCAAGTAGAGAAAAAATATGGCCTGCCAGTCTAAAAGTTTTTGGCAGGTGAAATAAATTTTAGCCTGCCATTTTTATTCATTGAACTGTCAAAATGGCGATGTCTCACAGGACTCATATTGTAAAAATCAATGTTTTCATGGTATGCATTTTTATTATTTTTAAACTTGTCTATTTTACTACAGTAAACTTGGATTTACATCTCAAATATAAAGTATTTAGTCAACTAAATGATCTAGTATATATGAGTTGTGGTAAGCAAATGAAATGAAATATCTATATTTCACCTGCCATTTTTTTTTACTTTGGCAGTTCAAATTTGTTTTTGCCTGCCATTTCTAAAATATCTGGCCTGCTTTTGGCCATCGGCAGCCCGCTATTTCGAGCCCTGGGTCTATTATGTCTGCATCGAGTTCCCTAACATTCTTATTCTATCGAGTATGGGATACTTGAGGATGGCCTCCAAATGGAACTCTACATAATGAAATGTTGCCATCTGATTGGCTGACTTCTTATTTGATTTTGATCACAATAGGTACCAAATGATATCGCGTTCAAGACTGAAGAAAGAATTAGTGAAACTTCGCCAAGAAGTTTGGAAGCCGATATTGGCGCCAGTATCTCCAATGCTGAGCACACAAATAAGAGAAACGCCTCAGGATATATGAAGATGACAGTGGACACAACAAAAGCTGCGGGACAGACTAAGGCGATCTCGCCCGTTGTTCCTCCCAAGCCTAAAAGAAAGAAACCAGCAAACAAAGTCGAGAATTCTGTGACAAAAACGGGCCTCTGGGAGAATGCCCTTCAGGAATTGAAGGAAAAGATATCAGAACGAAAAGTCGAGAAAAAACCTCGAGCTGGGTTGAAGAATGAAGACAGGACATCAGGCAAGATGGAAATAGCGGTAACAACAGCCTCAGATATCTCGAAAGATGAGCTAAGAACAAAACAAGCTGAAAATGCTGTAAAGTCTGACATGACGAGAACCACCATTGAGGAACTCTAACAGCCCTTCATGGGTGGAAGAGCGACAACTGTGGGAGAAAGCTGTTAAGGAACTGGAATTAGTCATTTCTGATAAGGATTTGGTCGTTGATAACCTCAGTAAAGTCAATCGTAAACTGAGTGAGGATATCGAATATTATGAAGATACCCTCAGGGATTGGAAAGGGAGAGATAAAGGGATACAAGATGATAGCGAGAAAATAATAGGTGAACGTGATAAGAAAATACAGGATCTTGATAACAAGTGATAGAGAGGGTTATCAAAGAGGGTTATCAAAGGATAGAGAGTGTTATCAAAGGATAATAGATGAACGTGATGCGAAAATACAGGAACTTGAAGTTAGGATAACAGGTGATAAAGTGGGTTATCAAAGGATGATAGATCAACATGAAGCACAAGTACGAGAGCTCGAAGGCAAAGTACGTGAAATGCGTCAGTCGCGAAACAAAAGCTAGAAACTCACTGGAGCTAAGTCATGGCTCGCAAAATGTTTTAAAGACTTTAGGATTGAAAAGAGAAAAGCTTGAATTGGAAAAGAGAATTGAGGATCTCCAGGAACGATTGAGATTCTATGAATCCCAGAATCAAACAGTCCTACAAGAAAATAGGTTAGGTGATAAAGCATTCCAAGAAATTCCTTCACTCCTCTATAAGTTTCGAGAAGGCATCGAGAAAAAACTACAAGAAAATGCACAAGTTGTTAACGCCTTAGAGGAGAGACTTATAAAATGTGCGAAAAACTGTCAAACACTGACAAAATTGAACAAAAATAAAGCTAAACGTGTTTTCGAAGATGAAATCGTGAAAGGGTCCAGTCAACAAGTTCAATCTATTCCAGATTTAGAAGAACCTACGAGATTCGACCTCAGGAGATTCAACCCTACGAGATTTCTCCCTATCAGATGTTGAAAATCTTAGGAATTTGGAAGTGGAATTACAGAAGGAAAAAATGATAAACGAGGACCTAATGGAAAGATTCATAGAGATTGAGGAATTAAATAACAACTACCTTGACTCTATGAGATCACTTGAAAGTAGGGCGAAAGATGCTGAAGATCTACGAGTACAGACCGAGACCCTCCGAGAACAGAACGAAGGCCTTCTCAGTGAAATATCGGAATTGAAAAAAACTACTCATTGAACACGAATGAGCTCAAGGATTCAGATGAATTGAAGATGAAATATGATGACACTTTGATGTTATACCGACAGCAAACGAGTGCTTTGGAGTCACAAGAGCGGGAAACAAGAGAATTGCGGGAAAAACTTGTCGAAGATGAGGAGCTTATTGAAGAATTACGGGAAAAAGTCATTGAAGATGACGAATTGATTGAGGAACTTCGCGCGAACTGTCAACGCGAAGAGAAATGGAACCGAGAAATGCAGCGAAATTACGAGTGGGAACTGAGTACTAGCGCTGAGAAGGACGACCGCATTGACGAGTTTCAAGACTGTCTGTGGGCGCGGGAGAAGTTGGTCCGAGAATTACAACAACAATTGGACTTCGAGGACAAGCGTTGTGAAGAATTATTAGAAAAACTTATCGCTTCTCAGAGAGAGGCGGAAGATTTCCAAGAAATGTGTAAAGATTCGAGGAAGAAATTGGAAGATTCTGAGGAAAGGATTAAGGAATTCTGTGATCAGAATGACCGAGATGCGGTAACCATTAGCAACCTGACGTCAGAGAATAAACAGCTGAGATCGGAGGTCGATGGTCTGATGAAAGTGCGGAGAACCTGGAGGAGGATTTGGAGCGGGCGAACGGATGTTTAGAAGCAGTTGAAGCGGATAAAGAGAACTTCTTGACCAGACAGGAAAGTGAAGTGAAGAAATTGTCGAACGAGTTGGAGGATAAGGACTTCACAAATAAAGGCAAAGATGAGGTAAGGATTATCAATACATCCAGTTATCTTCTAAACTGAGCTCTACAACACAATTTTCCCTTCAACGTTTTAAGGTATATGTTTGTAAGCTGCGATTTGTAGGGCCCAGAGATGCAGTAAAGGTGATCTTTTATAATCCACTTACTACAGGACGAAACCTAAACTAAACTTTATTTATAATGGACTAAAGAACTCCAAGAAGTTGCAACTGTTTACGGGAAACAATTTCCGAGAAAGAAGGTGATGTTTTAGACCGGGAAGCAGCTATGGCGCACCAGAGGGGAAAAACTGAGGAACTTGAGAAAGAAATTGAAAATCTTCGATTGTTATGTGGCGATAATTCTACACCTTTAAATAATAAACCTGAACTCGTGTATACAGAAGCAGAAATGGAAGAAGTTAGCGATTTTCTAGAACAGGAACGAACTCTATCTGAAATTCTCAGAAAGCAAATCTCGTTTCTAGAAAATGAGATAGAAGAAGTGAAAAGAAGTTTTCACGAAAGCAAAAAAGCGCTTGAGGAAAAGGATGAATTGATTACAGCAGCACGGAATGAGATAAAAGAACACGAAAGTTTAATGGAGAAAACGGACGTGGAATTAAATAACGTGAATATGCAGTTATCAAACACGAAGGAGGAACTAAGCAACACGAAGAAGGAATTGAGAAACACGAAGGAGGAACTAAGCAACACGAAGGAGGAATTGAGCAACACGAAGGAGGAACTAAGCAACACGAAGGAGGAACTAAGCAACACGAAGGAGGAATGGAGCAACACGAAGGAGGAACTAAGCAACACGAAGGAGGAATTGAGCAACACGAAGGAGGAACTAAGCAACACGAAGGAGGAATTGAGCAACACGAAGGAGGAACTAAGCAACACGAAGGAGGAACTAAGCAACACGAAGGAAGAACTGAGCAACACGAAGGAGGAACTAAGCAACATGAAGGAGGAACTAAGCATCACGAATGGAGAATTATTGAAGGCGAAAAATGAATTAAATTCGAAGGAAAACGAATTAGATGACAATAAAACAAGCACAACATTACTTCAAGTTGATTTGATGGAACTGGATACGAAATATCACCTGTTGGAAGCAATTACAGACAACACTGAAAATGAATTAATGGTCGCAAGAGAACAGTTGCAGAAAGTTCACATGGAAATAAAAACTCTCAAAGGTTTAAACAAAGAACTAGACGGCGAAAATCAAAAGATGAAAGAGAGAATAAGAGAAACAGAGATCGAAAACGAACTGCAAAGCGAAAGACAAGTTTTAAAAACAGAACTACTTAACAGGAACGAAGATGAACAGCAAAGTGAAGTTCTTCAGAGTCGAACAGAAGACGAAATAACCAGAGACGTTGAACAGCAACTTGAAAACGAACTGCAAAGCGAAGGACAAGTTTTAGAAACCGAACTAAATGAGCTTAAAGAAGAACGTAAACAAATACTGGATGAAAACAACGAATTGAAACTCTCTTTGAACGAACTGCAAGCATTTAATGAAACAGTGAGCCTCAAAAACCACGGCCTCCAGCGGAAGGTTGAGAAGTTGACAGATAAATGGTTAAGGAGCGAAGAAAAATTACGCCAGGCACAGATAACCAACGTCAACCTTCGCTATACCCTCGACGAATATATTTCCCAATCACAAGACCAGATACGACATTTGAAAAATCATGAACGTGAGGTAGCCACCTTAACTAAACATATTCACGAGATGGACGTCCTTGTTCAAGGATTTAAAACGGCTTTGAAAGAAGCAGTTGAAAATGAGAAAAACGAAGAAGAGTGCGTTGAAAACGATCAAAATGTTGAAGGTACAAGTCTCTCAAAAGAAAGTGGGACCCAAAATGAGCCTTGTGGTACACCAGAAACAGCAAAGAATACTAGGGGAAGGATTTCGACTGATTCACGTAGTATTAATAGGCCGTTAGGAATGCGAATATAAGTTAGACCAATGAGTGACAGAGCACAGAAGAGACGGAACATCACTTGGATAAGAGATACAGAGAGATAATATGCACGATCCAAGAACATTTCACAATTCCCTTTTGCTTTCTTTCTTTATTAAACAGGGAACCAACAATCAACAAGGGAATACTAATACCACACGACCAGTGTCAGAATCTGGAAGCAACGGGGAGCGTGACCAAAGCGTGGACACAGATATGAACAGAAGCAGAAAGCAGGACACGGTGGGGATAACAATATACAAGAAGGGTTGACAAGTGATCTCAACAAGGATAATGACGAGTATACAGAGATAAACGAGAGCATTGAAGGACGCGAAAGGATAAAGCAAGAACATAAAGAACTTCAAGAGATCATTACCAGAGCTGAAAAGGTATCGCTTGATTTTGAGTTTATCTTTTCGCCGATGTTTTTCTTTTTGGGATTACCGCTGCTTCATCTTAAAAGAAACAAAACTCATCAAAGTCGAGTCACTTCCTAAAGTGTTGCAGAAAAACATTAACCCTATTATCATGGACACTATCGTAGTAGTTTATGCATGTATCTTAGCTGTGTTCTTGCAATGCACGCAAAGCATTGTGGTACTGGTCACGTGTGCTATCGTACAGCTCGCTGTTCATTGGTGGACAAGTTATAGACTTGCAAAGAAGGATGATATCTTACAAGAGATCACTTTGAACTTCTACAAAACAGAACTAAATAAATGCATTCAGATTACCCATTTTATTACTATGTAGAAAAATTGTCATTCTTAGTAACTTTATTTTATAAGTACCTTTATACGCAAGCAAATTGACAGCTACTGATAGGAATTCAACACGAAACATACACTTTATTTCTATGCAAATTGTCATTTTGTTTATATACAGGTATATGACCTAAATACACCCTTTCGATAATTACGTCACACATACTTTTTGGTCTTGGAGCCTCGCTCTCATTAGTAACGTACGCAAGGTGATTGGCTCACGATTCATGAGAGCGAGGCTCCCAAGCCAAATGACGAATTATCGAAAGGGTGTATTTGTAACTTTTTATGCAGACAAATAGATAGCTAGAAACTGTGCACGGATCAGAATTTTTCATTTTATTATTTTTAAATAAATTAGTAAATTTATTTCTCAAACTCTTATTCATAAATTTGAGAAAGACACAAAGGAAACCAGCACCGTATAACGTCTTGATATACCACGGTAATAAACGCCCATAAATTTATTTTTTTGAAAATTGAATTGCAACTGAGTTACAGAGAGACAGTTGTCGAGCTCTAAGCAACTGAGCTACAGTTGTCAAGCTCTAAGCAACTGAGCTACAGAGACACAGTTGTCGAGCTCTAACCAACTGAGCTACAGAGAGACAGTTGTCGAGCTCTAACCAACTGAGCTACAGAGAACAGTTGTGAGCTCTAACCAAGAACAGTTGTCGAGCTCTAACCAACTGAGCTACAGAGAACAGTTGTCGAGCTCTAACCAACTGAGCTACAGAGAACAGTTGTCGAGCTCTAACCAACTAGCTAGAGAGAGACAGTTGTCGAGCTCTAACCAACTGAGCTACAGAGAGACAGTTGTCGAGCTCTAACCAACTGAGCTACAGAGAGACAGTTGTCGAGCTCTAACCAACTGAGCTAGAGAGACAGTTGTGAGCTCTAACCAACTGAGCTACAGAGAAACAGAGAGACAGTGTAGCTCTAACCAACTGAGCTACAGAGAGACAGTTGTCGAGCTCTAACCAACTGAGCTACAGAGAGACAGTTGTCGAGCTCTAACCAACTGAGCTACAGAGAACAGTTGTCAGCTCTTAA